AAAAATCCAAACTATAATGCTAAACTAACTTTTAAAAAACCACATGTTTAAAAGGACAGAAGTAAAATTAATGTACAATTAAGCCTTTAACTGCCGACAAAAACTGTTAAAGGCTAATCCTCCGCTAGCGTCGGACAACATTGTCCGACACGGCAGCCAATGTGTTAATGGTAGTACGTAAATTTTTGCAATTTTAACTGACTCCAAATAAGAACGTTTAAACTTTGTACAATGTTGAATTTGTATAATAACTATTCTGGTCCGGTTTACTCGCGAATGCTATTTGGGTTAGGAGTAACTACCCGTTAAGCTTTGATTTGAACCATATCGAGGCTTTTAATCGGCTTTGGCATCGTTGTCGTGCAACCTAGCACATGATGGCCCATAGCAATGATCTGTAGACGACGTTGCTGATGAAAGAGGTAATTATTTTATTATGGTTTAACCAAGGTTTAACAACTTGCAAAAGTTACACATAATTAACTAACTAACTATTGCGGTGGTATCCTTCTTTGTAGTTACCTACCTACCAATATATGTACTTCATTTAGATAGATTGCTCGCAGGGCGCTCAGCACGTATCATGACGGAGCCAAGGGTAGGGGGCAACAGATCGGTAGCCCATAGCAAAATGCTTTATGTTTCTGAATGTCCTTCTTAGTAATTATTGAACACTAAGGTGTTAAGGAACAGGAAACTGTAGGCTAGCCTGTATCTAAATACATATTAATTTATAATGTACCTGCCGCCGACCTTTACTAAATAAATAGGTACTACTACATAACTAGTAGGTATATCTATGAGCTACGTCTATGTATCTGCTTACAATGGATTAATATCCCTAACGTCCTTTGTGCAACGTAATGTTTTTATTAGGTTTCCCCTTGACTTACTTTAAGGCACGCACGTTTATTATTTTACAAGAACCATCTGGTTGGTAACTCTATATACTTATAAATTTTTAAGGATTTCAAGATAATATGTAAGTACCTTTAATAGCTTACTGAAAGGGCCTTGACCGGCGATATCAATCGTCAGATTCTCTGTTTAGATTTTATGATGTTTACAAAATCCTTATATTTGATTGTCTACGTTATCTGAAATAAAATTAAATGAGTTAGCGTATTAAGCTGGTACATTTCAGATGAGCAAGGCCAGTAATTTTGTATTAAATGAAGAACAAATTGTAAAACACATTAAAAATGTTGTGCGCATTTATAGTTTAAGATCGTATTTAAAGTTTAATAAGTGATTTAATTAATGTAAATTATTTAGTTACCTAATCATGAAGTTTATAATAAATACGTTTACTGTTATTTTTACTCTTTCAATGACAATAGGTCTAAAAGTGTTGGGAGCAGATGTGCTTCGTAAGTACCTAAGAAATTTAAAAAATTATTTAATGTCAAATTCAGGATATATTATGTAACTGTAAATGTTACTTACGTATTGTAAAATTAGTAAAGTTTATGAAATCGAAAAGGTCATTTTTTACCCGACAGATGGAAGCGTAGGTACCTATTTTAATTTTGTTCTGGTTTGAACAATTTGTGATCCTAAAAACTGTAGGTCTACTCTGATTCGACGAAAAACGAAGTTTCGTTCGAAATTTCGCAAGTTTCCTACTACGGTTCTCTTTCTTTCGAAACTTCGTCCGAACGAACGAACTTTAAGGCATTTTGACGTTAAACCCTACTCTAATTCATTTTACGAACGAACGAAAATTCGAATTTGACAGATTATTGTTCGGATTCTAAATGTCATTTCGACGAAACCAAAATAGTTGTCGTTTAATTTTCGTTTGCCACATAATAACTCTTGTTGTGTATTTAAACATTATTTTTTGATAATTCTAGTTATCAATTTTAATTATTACTACATAAAATTAAAAGTGTTGAAGCTCTCTTGTTAATTATTATTTTAAAATGGCAATGTTTGACGTCGTCAGCGTCACTCTTTGGCGGCAATTTAAACCAACTACGCGCGCTCAGAGTAATAAGTACTTCTTCGAGGCGTTATCATAATAATAGTCGTATTATGGCTGCGAGACATTTTCTTGTGGAAGCTGCAATGCGGGAAGAACGCACAGAGCGGCAAAGAAACCGTCGTCGTCTCCGGCTCCAACTGGATGTCGAACATATTCCCGACTTAGAATTTGTAAGAAATTACAGACTAAGTCGGGAATTGTTCGAACAATTGTGCCAGGACATAATTCCCATACTCCCTCCGAAGATGAGAAAACATGGGATCGAACCCACCCACAAAGTAAGTACCTACCTATAGCCTATTTAGAAATTGTTGACTTTGATTAAATACGTACTAAATACCTACTATAGTTCTACTGTTTCAATGTTAACCTGTTAACTTTTTTAGATACTGACTGCGTTGCAGTTTTTTGCCCGCGGCAGCTACCAAGGCTCTGTGGGTCAAAATATGGACGCACCCATGGCCCAACAAACCGTCTCACGATGCTTGCGTGAAGTAACATCGGCACTCAATGCACCCAATATCCTCAGGAAACACATAAAATTCCCGCAAACCCGAAGCGATAGGATGTCCATTAAACAGAGGTACCTACTATTAATATATAACTTTTGAGCATGATAGCAAACAATTATCTCAATTTTATCACAAACGTAGCCGTTTGAAATTCGCGCGCGCCAGTGCACGTCTCTTATCAGTGGCTAGTCACGTGGCCTCGCAAGCCTGCGTTTTGCGTGTTCCCTCCACCATGTACCTAATGCATCTCGCAAGCCCGCGAATGAAGTAGGTATCAAAAACTTAGTTTCGAGTCATGAAACGTAGAATCATGGTAAAGATACCCTATAAAAACTTTGACTCAGTGTGCAATCTCATTTCATCATCATTCAATCATAATCTTACATAAAGGTTTTATCTATGTTCTTTAGAATTATAACTTGAACACGGTCAGAAAAATAATACGTAATAGTTAGCTCTCTAGATTTAAAAAGGACAATGCCTATTTGTCTCCTGCTAATGTATAGAAATGAAAATCCCAAACTTTTAATTGTAATTGAAATTATGTTTTGACCGCGTTTCTACCAACAGCTATATATTTCAATTTACGCATAATTAGTCGATGATAAATTTGACTCAACGTTGCATTTAATTCATTATTGTGCTTCATATTTCATCATACTTTTTTAATCTAAAAAATAAACACAACTAAATAAAAATTAACCAAATAGTTAAAATGTTCAGCACAAGTGAAATGAATTTTATTTAGTTCATTGACAGTTCTGACATTGTGTTTTGCGTTCCGCAATTCTGTTGTTGTTTTACGCCGTTATTGTGAACTACTGTGCGAGTTTTGTAGATTTCTTCTTATAATGACTATATTTAGTTTACCACCTCGATATCTTTTTCATTCAACGACATTGCAAATCGTCGGCTCAACAAATCCGCTGCTATCTATCAGCAACAAGTTGAACAATATTATTGAAACATCAGATTTTTGGGCATTGCTCGCGTCGCGTTTACATTGATCAAAATTAACTATGGACCTTAATTTCCATACCCACAGGGAGTATTACTATAATTTTAAGTTCTTTATTTTTAATGTTCTACATAATTAAGAAAAAATCCGCTCAAACATACTCGCTTCCCATGGCGCGGGCTTGTGAGTTATATGGTGAAATAATTCAAGAGATCACGCAGCTAACAGTTGATAGAGGCTGTTGTCTTATTGTGTTGGGATAAAAAGGGGAAAGATTTTTGTTAAATTATCTGTCATTTAAAACCAGTTAGGTACCTTAAAATCCTGTCCTACGTTTTTGTTATTACTACAAAAATGAACAGCAGGTTGGATTATACATTATTATTTTATTTATTATAACTATAACATTGTATAATTGTAGATTCTATGAGAAGTATGGGATTCCTGGAGTTATTGGGTGCATTGATTGCACGCATGTTGCCATAGTAAGACCCGTTGAGCACGAAGAACAATTCTTCAATCGAAAGCATTTTCATTCAATCAACACACAAGTTGTAAGTGTTAATAAAATTTCTATTAATTTTACTACTAAATGCCTAAATTTACAAGTACTAAATAGTCTTACATTGATTTCATTATTTTTTAGATATGTGATAGTGATTTATTGATCACCAATGTGGATGCGGGATATGGTGGAGCAACACATGATGCCTACATTTGGAGGGAATCTGAAATTCGCTCCCACCTGGAGAGTCTTCAAAGCGAGACATCCTATCTACTGGGTATGTTAATTTGTCATTACTATGTATGTAATAATGTGTACCATATTCATACAATTTTCATTAACATGTTATTATTTTCAGGTGATTCTGGTTATGCTCTGCGGGAGTATATGATGACCCCAGTGGATAATGCCATCGAGGACTCTCCAGAGGGAAGGTATAATTCCCTCCAAAAACGTGCTCCACCATAGAACGTACATTTGGTGTCCTCAAAGGTCGATGGCGATGTCTTTTATCAGCTCGGGAACTTCATTACTGCCCAGCCACTGCAGGTCAAATAATATTGGCCTGTTGTGTTTTACACAATATTTGTGTTCGGGCTGGTATTGAAGCTCCAGAGTTGTTACAAGATGACATCGACACTGAGAGGACACGACAGGTGGCATCCCAGGCAGCATCATCATCGACCAGCCAAGCGTTACAGGCTGGTCGAAGAGCGAGGCTGACCTTAATCCAAACATTGGAAAGACACCGGTGAGTTGCACTTATATCACACAAGTGTGTAAGAAAGAAAATCAATCATTTGTCTAATCGATTTATTGTTTTGTTTTAGATAACGCATGAAGACAACAATTCTTTTTTTATTTTTACTCTTATTTTTACAATTTTATTATATGGAATATATCTTTTACCTTTTTTTATTTAACCCTGAATTATTTTTCAGTTTTAAGTGCATATTGAATATAATAACAGTATAGGGGGAAACAAACAAAGTCTAAATTAAAGCATTTGTTACAAATAACTTAATAAATGTTACAAGCTTTAAATGTTAAAACATTTAATAGAATAAAGTCTTATAAAAACAGAAATAAAAGTGGTCCAATAGAAACACATTTCACTGATATATTTATATATTATATAATCCAATATTCAACATTATATGCGTAAGTACAATAACAGCATACAAATACTGACAGTAGTACAAAATTAAAACGCATTAATTTGAGAGACAAATAATTTTAAAGTTAAAGCTTATAGCTAATAATCCTCCAAATAACGTTATCTTCTGCTATAAGATATCTAGATTACTTCAGAATTAAAGAATTAACTTGTTCCCGGCCCACCTCCAGTCATTGTAGCCAACCACTGGGAGTCAGCAACAACTTTTTCGGTTAAACCAAACCTATGCAGAATAAAAATAAGTTAGGTCACATTTTTTTGTTTTCAATAAATAATAGTTGTAAATAAAATACCTACTTTTTGCCCCTGCATGTTTGTATTTGTGCAAACGCCCATGGCATTTAGGAGGTTGGACACCTCGTCCCAGAGTTGCTTCGCTTGGAGCTTGCCTTCTACACTTCGCAGATGTTTGCGGGCAGGGTCGCGATGTTCAGAAAGTTGAGGAGTGTATCTACTTGTTCTGGAGTTGCTGAACTCGTCCATGGAGCCATTTTATACTGAAATTATTTTAAGATGAAAATAAGTTATAGAAACTTATGACTAAAACAAATGCAAATAGCAAGAATTTTAAGTATGAAAAGCTACAAAAAACTATACTTACACTTTTTACCAAAATTAATTTCTAAAATAATTAATAATAAACTTGATGGTAAGTGAAGTAAAATAAAAAACTCAAATGTAAATATAACGCGCGAAGCGAAATTTTAAGGAAATGTCATTGACATTGAAATTTTATGATTGTTTTGAGTCTATGGTTTTCATCACGAACTTTATTTGTTAACTTACTTGTATTTATTTGACTTAATGTGTCTATTAACCATGTATTTTAGAAGAATGTAATAATATTCTTTGAAATATATTAATATTTCAATTTATTTTAATTTATAATAAAAACCGATTATTTACCGCAAAAGTCTATGAACGAACTACGATGACTTCGTTCATTCCATTCGTTCACGAATATTGTCTATGGATCCGAATTTGCCGTTTGCGGACGAAAATGAAACAGAGTAGGGTCACAAACGAACCTTCGTTTAAATTTCGGTCGTTAACGAAACTTCGGATTCGAGAACCGGAGTAGGCCTCCTGTTACTACTTATGTACAAAATATTCACATAGAAAATTGGTTTACCTAAATATTATTCCTTAACTCGTCGAGTACCGTCATTATAGACACAATTATAGAACAATAGGTTGCGGTCACCGGTGACCGCTTGGTGTTTGACAGTTTAATAATGAATAATGGAAGTACCTAATTACTTTGCTATCCCTATAAATGCATAATGAGTTAGTTTCCTAACTACCTACGAACCATCAAAAATGTTCTTATCGTTTTTTTTAATGTGGAGTTAGTATGTAACTGAGAAAAATTATTATCATCTAACTAAGATTACGTTTATTGTAGCAAGGAACTGTATTGAAGAACAAATACTAGGTGCGTTAGCAAAATGGCGGAATGGTACGATTGCACCTTCAGTGCCTTTGTTAAAAGGGATAAGGATAAACTCTGTAGAGGGTTTATACGAAGGCTTCGGTATAAAGTAAGTAAAATTTATAAAGGAATATGAATCGTGGTTGTGGTAAATAATTAGAGAGTATTTTTAACTATTACAAGTTTTATTATGGAGAACACAATAACCGGAGTTTTTATAAAGACAGAGACAAACGGAATGACAATTGCGGCGCCACAGACAAGAAATATATATTTTAGTTGCGTTCCTATTCACTAACAATTTATTTTTTATTTGATGCTAGAGATCTCCCATGGCTCTCCCACGGTTAATTTCGAAGAATATTTTTTCTCGGTATCTAATATTACAAAATTAGATTCGAAAATTCTTTATTTTCTTTTAGGATTAGATACAGGACTGGTGAAATGAAACTGAGTGGTGTGGAAAACTTCACTATAGAACAACTGTCTGTATCTGCAAAAAATTTGGAAGCATCTGGAACTGTACGGTTTCCAGTGTTGATGTTAACCTCGGGTAAGTATTTTTAAATAATGTGAGTACTGGGTAGGTAGTAATAATCTTATCCTGGATGCCTCGTGGAGGGCCTGCCAATTCTAATAGTTATAGGGTCGAAAAGCGAGGTAATGCAATGAAATATTGAATTTATACGTCGACAATTCCTGGCGTAGGGCAAAAGTGGGAACAGGTTAGTTTTTTTAGTACGAGTCTGATACTCCCCTAGCCCCAACCAGGGTACAAGAAATAAATTTGATGATTTTTCATTTTCATTGTCACAAAAAAGGCTTTATCAGTTTCATGTCATATCGATACGGAGTACGGAGTCCAGTTGGCTCCGCACTTTCCCACACGCCGAGTACGCTTCTCATGAACGAGTTTCAGTGTGACTTAAAATAGTAGAGCTTTCTCCTATAGTTCTCGACAGTAAGCCGTATCACATATTTCATTTACATATTCGATTGTAAACAAGTATTGTTCGAAATTTCAGATAATTATAATCTTAACGGACGTGCGTACGTGATGTACTCGCTGAAAGGGTCAGGATTAATGAAGTGAGTTTATATCAGGAGGCAGACAGATCACACATATTATTTATAGTGGCGAAGTATATATTAAACTATATCTTGTATAAGAACCTTCTTAATCAAACACCCGACTCTCGAATCGGGATCCAAAAGCGTTCTGAGGCAAACCTCTTCTCAAATTCTGACTTCAAAAAGTTACAGATATATTAAAAAACAGTATATATTTTTGAAATTATAAATAACCAGAAATCTATATTATCAAAACATTATCGTAAAACGTATTAATTATTTATCGTTTCAGAGTAATTTTTCAAAATACGAAGTTGACTCTAGGAACAAAGTTAGTTCAGAAAGGCACAGTATATCAAGTTGAAGACGTTAACTTAAACTTCAGTGTTAAAAGTGTTCAGGTAAGTTATGTTGGGTCCCCAAACCTAAATACTTTAAAGATTGAATTTATTATAATTAGGTCAAAAAGGAAGATACTCAACACAATATGTGAACATGGATTATACAATGAACTATTTCGAGCGGAATCCAAATGTGACATGTTGCTTAGCAGTCGATCGTCGCCTAATCATTGCGTGCCGTTGTTTACAAACACATATAGTTCATAAATTAACACATAAGGTTACCTATACCGAGTGGTTTCTTTATTCACAGATTAATTTGGAAGATAGTTCATGGCCAATTAATACGGTGTTGAACAGCAACGCTATGCAGATTTTAGAAAGCTATCGCAGCGAAATGGTTGCTGCTGCTAAAGATATGTTGAAGCAAGCGATCAACGGTCACCTGGCAACAACGATATTTCCGCAGTTATTGAACAATGCTGGAAATAACTTTTGTACCATCACGTTGTCTGCTTTACGTTTAAGTAATGTATGACATTAATTCCATCAACTAGGTTTATGTACGGTCAACGGTGAAAAGTCCACTGCCACCGTAAGACTACTATCGGTTGCGCTGCAGCGCTTATACACACGCATATTTTTATCCGTGTGCGTGCGCGTGTGTGTGTTTATGCGTACGCACGCGTTTTTATGCACATTAATATGAAATTACTTACGCATTGCCGTGTGAACATCACTCACTGTGGCAGTGGACTTTTGACCATTAACAAATTTAATAATTGTATGATAATTAAAAATAAATTCGTCTTAAACTAACCTTAATTAACCTTAATTTTCCCTGAAAACCCAAACGGTGAGGATTGGAAGTGGTCGTGGTGGCTCGGACGTAAGAAGAAACTTATAAACGGCAAGTACCAATGTGTCTTTTTCTGAGTTATATGTACTTTCCAAGATTATCTAGACACCACTGACGAAAAACCACCACTGACTGGTGAAGGAAAATATCGTAATTCCTTACGATATTTTCCCTGGGGTTATAATTTCTAATTTTAAGTTTGAAATCGCCAACCCGCATTGAGCAAGCGTGGTAATTAATGCTCAAGCCTTCTTCGTGTGAGAAGAGGCTTTTCAGCAGTGGCCATTTATAGGCTGATGATGATGATGATGAGGATTGGAAGTCAGCCGTTTGTTAGTCATGTGGTTATCGACGCAACTGCATGATCTTGATGATTAGATTGGAGTCCCTATTCGATTGAAACTATTAGGTATCCTTAGGGCTCTTAATTTGTGATCGCATTTGCCTCTAGCCTTGTCCCACTAGCCTCTTTTTACTAATACTTAATATACCTTTTGAAAATCGGAACGTTAATTTCGGTACTTACTATTTAAGAATGTTATTGACTTATTTTATACATAAAAGGATTAACGTCTTGTAGGAACATTTTTACTATAATGGATGTCAGTGTTGTTAGTTCAGTATACACAAAGGTCTAGGAACCTTAGTAACCCTAACTAAAACAATATCGTGGACTTCGAGGGCTTCATTGTAGATAATATTTCTTTATTGAATTCTTGTAAATATATTTGAGATCCACTCGTTATTAATTCTATAGGGTTATTTAATATCTTCGTTATTACATACACTGTCTCGTCTACATTAGGCTCGATGCTCCATTCGAGCTAGAAGAAAAAGAATATGTAGGTATATATATCAGTAAGTGTACGGCTATTATGGCTACGGCTGTCGCTATGGCTACGGCTGCCGCTACGGCTGCGGCTGCGGCTACGGCAACGGCTACGGCTACGGCTACGGCTACGGCTACGGCAATGGCTACGGCTACGGCTGCGGCAATGGCTACGGCTACGGCTGCGGCTACGGCAATGGCTACTGCTACGGCTACGGCAATGGCTACTGCTACGGCTACGGCAATGGCTACGGCTACGGCTGCGGCTACGGCAATGGCTACTGCTACGGATACGGCAATGGCTACGGCTATGGTTACGGCTACGGTTACGCCTACGGTTGCAGCCTTGGCTACGGCTACAGTAGTGTTAGTCTAACCACAGCAGCCGGTCACCCAGGTCGCCAGCCGTGCAGGCAGAGAGTGAGTGTAATGGTATCATTATGTAGGTTATTTTGGAAGTTTTTAAGTGTTGGGGACGGTACTGAGAGTTACGAATGAAAAGTCATCAAAGAATGAAAAATCAAAATAATACACAGTAGTGTATATCAAGTAAGTAGTCGTGTTTAAATAATAGTTCTTTTATTCACTTATGTACTCATATGAGTAATATGGATATGGTTCACTTCTAAGATGCAAATTGCGATTTTTGTCGGAAGGTTTAGAAGATATGAGGTAGTCGATGACAGAGTAAGCAGGAACCTGCGCAAGTTCTTCGTTGATCAGCTTAAACACTACTCTGGATATTGAATTGACGATGTCTTCTAAACGCTTGTTCGTAAATTCCGTTAACGTAATTTGGAAGTCCACCAATTCTTGAATTATTTCAAATGAAATCTGAAACGTAAAAAAATCTAAAGACTAAAAACCGATTGCTTACCATCAGGTGATCTGTCTGCTCGTTTACCGGCTTATGTCATAAAAAAACACTCCTTCATCACCAGACCCTTAATGCCACTTAATCTAGGTGTAAAGGTCTCATCAATACAAATTAATCAAGCCCAGACACAAGGTAGTTCCTATATAACCTTGAGGAGTTCCCTCGACTCCAGACCTATGTCAAATTGTACTACTAGTTTAAAATATCTATTGAAAGTATTCATGAACGCTCTAGTTATCCATTTCAAAAGTTCTCCCTTAGCTTACCTGAGATCCCATCATCAGATCCTGACCTGGTGACAATGGGACCACCTCGGAAGTATAACCTTTCAAACAAATTAAGAATTTTGAAAATCTTTCGACAAACGGCGGAGTAATCGGTAAACAATGAACATAAATAAAATAAACAATCAATCGGTTATAGTACCTCCTCCTTTTTTAAAATAAGTATTGTTCCTTTGTGTTTACTTCCACTACTGGGATGTAGATTCATTTAAATTTTAATTACTTTATAGACTACGGTTAAAAAAGCCGAATTCTCCCTCTTTTTTGAAGGTTAATTTGTATCCTAAAACCTGTTCCTAAGTGTAACAAACACTCTGAAAACCACATCAAAATCGGTTCAGCTAATTGCGAGATAATAGCGCACAAACTACACACATACAGGTCAAACCAGAACCTCCTTTCTTTGAAATATTACAGAATTATTCGAATTATTATATCAGAACTTTCGACGTTATATTGGTCTTTGCGGACAAAACAATTTTTAAATTCCATACTTGTCCACTTCCCTATTAGGTTTTGATAACATTTTTTTATTAACAGGTAATTTGTTACAAATATTTGTCAGATAACTTGATTTCATGGCGTGATTATTGCTTGTAACTATATTTGTACACAATAAAATGAAACTGCTGAAACGAATGGCATTTTTTATAAAATGTGAGTAATTTACCATAATTTTGCTGACGTCTATACTGATTGCGGCGTCCACGATTTGAAACACATTGATATTTGAAGGCAATAACAATGTTGCTACAGTCAGCACTCCTGAAACCTTCACATCATTCGAAACTGTGCTGCAAAATAAATAATATTTTTATTTATTTATTATATATCTGAAACTGTATCTGAGAATGCTCTAGGCATTAAGTCCGCCTTGTGCTATATGTGCAGAAGAATTAAATAAATAAATATCAGTACAATATTATAAAAATGACATACTGTTCATCAGTCTCGCTTAAACTCAAAAACAGCTAGACCGACTATGTTAATTTTGGTCTTGAAATATTTGTGAACTTTCAGGTTTCAAGGTAAAGTATTAGATTTAGTATTTTCTTTTCTCATAAATTTAATAAACTGTTTTATAAAGTGATATGAGATTTGTGACATGGAAAATTTAAATCATTGAGAGTAAACTTTAATGCTGGGGTCTGAGAAACATTTACAATGTTATAATGTTACAGCTAGGGAATACAAATCTCGCGAGATTTGAAGTCAGTTAATATACTAAAACCTTCTCCTAAATGTAATAAATAGTTCTGTGAAAACCTCAACAAAATCGGTTTAACCAATCGCGAGACAATGGCGCACATACATATATAAACACATGCCTACATACAGGTCAAATAGAAAACCTCCTTCTTTTTCGAAGTCTGTTAAAAATGCTTGTCGTCTCACCTCAAATTGGCGATCGAAGCGAAGTGATGTTGATCTATCAATCCGTTTACAAAAACCATACCTGCAAACAAAAACTACATTAACACGTTAAACGCCATGGTCATCGGTGGGTCATTGGTGACCGGCGTTAGCGGAGGATTTACCTTCAAATTATTTATAATTTTCGCGGAGAATCTAACGGGTAACCGGGGCTCCGGCTCGACGTGCAGGAGAAGGAAGGGGGTGGTTTTTAGTCAGTAAGAGTCTGACACTTCCTCCCGCCTCACCCAGGCGAGAGCAGTAAATTGATGATATTCCCCTCTTAAAAAAAATTCTTGGTAGGTACATTTAAAAATTAACTGATATTCAAAATACAAAGTTGTTCTTCAGTCAAAATGTATCTGTCGTTGAAAAAATCGACCCTAAGTATGTATTCTATGTATATGGTATTAAATCACGGTGAAATATATCGTTTTATCTATCAGTGTTATTATGTTGTAGATGAGCAGCCTGAGTTATATGATATTTTATAAATGGTACACAATGAACCGATGAATATATTTGTTTCGTTTTATATGTTTAACTTTTTTTCTTATACTTGATAGGTTCAACTTTAACTTCTAGTTCAAATGCGAGCAAGACTGCAAGTCACTAAAAAGCAAATCCTGCACTTGTAATCCGAATACATAAGCAGGTTTTACAATTATAAATTATAATATTGGTAGGTAGGTAGTAAAAGCCCTGGTACCGTCTGTTGTTAATGAGGGGACGCTCAAGGTAAAGTCCAGTCTAATAGTTCCTCCAAGGCGAACTGCTAGATTGTCCAACACAGCCTGCTGAAAACCGTGTACCATAAAATTGTATAGGTATAGAACCACTCTGTAAGGTAAACAAAACCATTATAACATTTCTGTAAGTTGACCCTTTTGCCTCATCAAGTAAAAATATAAGTACTTACTTGTTATAAACGTTTATTTACCGGAGACGCCATGAGTATGAGTTTACAAAACATAATATGACATGATTTAAAATCATAATTTTTTACAAGTGATTTGTGTTTGACTTCAACGTCACTAGTCAGTTCCAATCAGTTCCTATTTTTTATTCAGACACAACTTCAACGCGTTAATCTTTCTTTCTGCTAGATTTCGTAATCCGTAGTAGACCAGAATGTTACAGGTAAGTAGAGAATGTTACACGTTTACTTACACGGTGTTTAGTTCACGTAGATGGAAACGATTGACAGATCGCATTAGTGTTGTGTCCAACGTAGGAAGGAATTGTTGTAAAAATATTTTTGCGTTCTGGGTGGCTGCCTCATCACGCCGCGACAGTGGGCTGTCCTCCAACTCGGAAGGACCTCTGGCATTCTTGTGGATGTGAATGGGACCCTTGTCGTAATTTACTACAATCAAGTTGAAGGCACCATGTAAAGTATATTGATAACTTGAGACCCTTCAAAATGGCAGTGGATTAATGCCCATTTTCACCATACAACCTCTCTTAAACTTTAAGGAATTCTTAAACTGTCAAACATCGCGAGGACACCTGTGTCCGCACACCTATAGTTCTTTAATTGTGTCTATAATGGCGGTATTCAAAGGGTGCTAAGATAGGTTATGTTTATCGGCATTTTGTTTTTCATCAATACGTACAATCAGTACTAGTAAGTAACTTTTAGTTAAGAGATGGTATTCGGTGAGGTTAGTGAAAACGGCCAAGTCTCTTAATGTTCATCTTTTTCAGTTTCAATGAAATAAAGTGACTACCTCGTTGGCCGAGTGGTCGTATGTGCGATTGCCGGCCAAAGGATCTCGGGTTCGATTCCCGGGTCGGGCAAAGTATTACTGGGTTTTTAAAAAATTCTCAGTAGTAGCACGGAGTCTGGTATTGTGCCCGCTATATGACAATAGGCTTACCCCTTATTACATGGGACTCATAACGTAAATTGTGAAAAGTGGGTGTTACATTGTACAGTGGTATAATGAATACCTCTGGCTACCTCTTCGGGGATAAAGGCGTGATGTTATGTTAATAAAGTGTAAACTTACAAAAGACGGCCTGCGCTGAGAACACGACACATAAAATGTGCAGTACAACAATCAGCATGGTGGCGCTGGTACGTTACCGCTCTGGTGGACAGTGTCCCAAACGTGAGCGCCCAGGGAGTAGGGAGGTAACACTCGATCTTGGACTATTTGTTTGGACCAGGGAAATAAATTAATTTTACAATCGTATTATTATAATAACATAATTCTGAATTCCAATATTAAACACTGTCGTGTATGATACAAGTTTTATATTCAACCAAACATTTATTATTTAATTGATTTATGTTATTCTTAGTTTTATCATTATTATAAATTGCCAATAAACGTTAAACCTACATTATATTTATATTTTACGCCTGAAAAATTAATATTGCTATGTTCATTAATTACATTACTTTTACGATCTAACCATGACAATTTTGTTATAGAACGTATCTAACTACACAATAATGAATATTAGATACAAATTAAAACTTAATTTGGAACTTATCGTATATTTATTATTTGACTGCACGGTTAGTATCGTGGCTGATCGCAACATGAAGCGGGTTCGATTCCCGCCCGGAGCAACTCTTTTTATGATACAAAAATTGTTGTTTCGGGTCCGGGTGTCATTTGCATGTGAAATCATATGTTTGTAAACACACCCACGACATATTAAAAAATCTTAGTGCGGGATAACATTTAAAAAAACTATTGATTTTTTTATTACCATATTTAATATTTTTATACCTACCATATTTTACTCTATTACCTACTCGAATACGCATTACGTTTACATTTTATTATGAAGATGAAGGTGACAAGTGTACCTCTATATGTCATTCTTATAAGTTATCGTTCGCGCAAATACAAAAATATAATGCAAAGCAATGTGCGACGGACTATGTGTACGAGCAACATCGAACGGGC